CTGTAGGGAATTGGTTTCAAGTCAGCAGATCAAGCAGGTATTTCTGAGCTCCCGTCATTCCGGGGCTATTTGGGACTGTTTATTTTACTTGCGTGCAGTGACTTCTCCTTTAATTGCCCCCGTGGCTAGTGCTGCCATTCTTGCTGACTCCCATCTTCAAGCCTCGAGCATCTGGAGTGGAGTGGGGAAGATAGTGAAGGGGACCCATCTATGTCAGCTTATAATTTTTATTGGGGAGTTCATGTAGCCTAGCAGCTCCAACTGTGAACCAGAAAGGTAGATGCGAATTTTGTTGCGCTAAGCGTATTTCAGTCAAGCCCAATGCAGAAGACACAATAACATTGCACCCAGGCAAGAGGAAAAAGAACAGAAGAACTTTACTCTTATCAGCAGAGTTAAAACAAAAACGTGCAATGTTACAAACAGGGCAACAAACTTACATAGTATTGTCGAAGGCTTTCATGGCCGGAATCACTGGGTTGTTGTAGGTTTTTCCGGGCTATATGGCCATGTTCTGGAGGCAATTTTTCTCCTGACGTTTTGCCTGCATCTATGGCAAGCATCCTCAGAGGTAGTGAGGTCTGATGGAAGTAGGAAAAATGGGTTTATATATCTCTGGAATGACCAGGGTGAGACAAAGGACTTTTGTCTGCTGGCGCTAGCTGTGAATGTTTCAGCTGATCACCTTGATTAGGATTCAATGGCTTGGAAGTGCCAGGAGGGAATCTTTTGTTGAGAGTGATTTTATATGCCTGTTTGTTTCCCCTCTGTTGTTTTGCTGTTTTAATTTTAGAGGTTTTTTTTAGTACTGGTAGCCAGATTTTGTTCATTTTCATGGTTTCTTCTGTTGAAATTGTCCACATGCTTGTGGATTTCAATGGCTTCTCTGTGTAGTCTGACATGGTGGTTGTGAGAGTGGTCCAGCACTTCTGTGTTCTCAAATAATATGCTGTGTCCAGGTTGGTTCATCAGGTGCTCTGCTATTGCTGATTTCTCTGGTTGGAGTAGTTTGCAGTGCCTTTCATGTTCCTTGATGCGTGTCTGGGCGCTGTGTTCAGCAAAGGACAAGAGGGATTCTCTCACCTCTGCAGGAATCTACCGTGTACCATGCAGCTGTGGACATAGGGACCCCCAAACGCAGCGGCCAGACATGCATCAAGGAACAACAAAAGATTCCCCCCAGGCACTTCCAAGCCATTGAATGCTAATCAAGGTGATCAGCTGAAACATTCACAGCTAACCCCAGCAGACAAAAGTCCTTTGTCTCACCCTGGTCATTCCACAGATATATAAACCCATTTTTCCTACTTCCAACAGACCTCACTACCTCTGAGGATGCTTGCCATAGATGCAGGCGAAACGTCAGGAGAAAAATTGCCTCCAGAACATGGCCATATAGCCCGGAAAAACCTACAACAACCCAAACTTACATAGTAGTAGTATGGTTTTAAAAGAAATGAAGGGAGAGCAACCCAACGAGTACTTAAAGTGCATTTGGATGAAGATGAAAAAGCCAAAATGCATGTTGCGACTTACACTATGGAAGATTCTAGAATACTCTAGAAATTTTGATGACGCAGTATTAGTGCCGTGCGCAAAAGCCAGAAACCCTATATAAGGCCAGACTTTTGAACAGTGAGGGTCAGTCAGTTGAAGACTGAGACAGTATCGTTAAACATCGTTTTACATTGTTCTTTTTACTGTAGTTATGCCTCGCACGTGTGTAAATAAAGCACTATGGAAAAAAAATATCAAGGCCAATGGACTCCGTCAATGCTGTCAGACTACTGCTGGAGCATTGTAAGAGACAATCCTTTCCTTGAATACAAAAGAAAAGTCAAGAGAAGCAAGCAGGATAAAAACTAAAGTCACGATTAAAGCGACATTTAAACTTTCAGACTTTTCAACAGCATTAGGCCTACTAATATAGTTTCTTGTTGCACAAACATAAACAATAGACTAATTAAATAAATATTTCTCATGTATAAACTATTGGCAATATAATTTGACTAAAATTTAGTAAATATTAACAAATTACCTATTGTGGAGAAAATTGAATTAGCTGTTGCATAAAAACCAGAGCCAATTAACACATTTAATTATTATATTTGAATTCAGCATGTTAAATTTATTAAGAAATGGCACATTTCGTTTCCGTAACTGAGAAAAACTGAAAATTTGTAGAACAGTGTAATTGGGTACAGAGTCCGGTCTGCCCTCCATCTTCAGCACCAGCTGAGTGACATCAGCGTACTGGTAATACTCAAGCCCAAAACCTCGAACCAGCTGAGCAAGTGGTCGCATATAAATGTTAAACAACAGAGGGGAGAGAATGGTCCCCTGAGGAACCCCACAAGATAGAGGGGACCTCTCAGAGACCAGGCCTCCCCTCTCCACTCGCTGTCCATGGTTGTGAAGAAAGGAGGGGAGCCAATTTAAAGCTGTCCCCCTGACTCCAACAACAGCAAGGCGTTTACCCACTGGGCCATCGGTGCAGGTGAAACGTCAGGAGAGAATACTTCTGGAACATAGCCATACAGCTTGAAAAACTCGCAACAACCCAGTTATTGTTATTGATGTGCAGATATACTAAGTTGGTGGAGAAATCTTGATCCTTCCCCATCCACAGTTTGTGCAAAATGAACTTCATTAGCAGCCTAGGTTTTATAACTTCTGGATTGCACTGTATGCGAGATAACTATTTTGAAAACCCTTGCATGTTCCCACCACAGCTCACTCCTTAAAGATTGCATAAAAGCAGAACTTGGTTGGCAAGATTCTTTGTGTCCTCCTTATTTCATTCTAAATTGGTTTCTACATACTTTTGCAGATGTAATACTTTTATTTAATGAGTTATAAGGGGAGAGACGGAACTGATGCCGCACTGAAAATCTGTGTCGTGAAACGGTAGTTTTTTCAGACACGGGTTTGTGCCACAGGTCTATTTTGTATTAATGGTCATTTCGGTTTCAACTTGATCCCGTCTCATGCTGTGAGTCTCTTCACTTTTTCTCCTTGAATTAAGCAGAGGCTTTCTTTTCTTCTGCCTTCTTCCCCCTTTCCCCCTCCTTCCTCTCTCTTAAATTGGAGAATCTTGCATTTCTGTTTCCAAGCATTTTTCGTAAGTAGCTTTCACATAGTTTCTTCTTCTTACTCAATGAAAAAAGGGGGGAAAATGTTTCAAATTCTCTAAGAGTCTTAGCCCAAGGGAATTAGACAAGGAATGGCATTCAGTGCCTTTCTTCTCTGGTCCAAAAGAAATGGTGGGAAATGGATGCTACAGATTGTTACTGCCGTGGGGTGCCAAACAACCAAGGGAAGGAAAAGGGGGGATATAAAGAAAACCTTGGGGTTCAACATCTTGGCTTCTCCCCGTCAATTCATTGGACATTATTAGAAACAGAATTCTGGATTAACTAATTTTATTTTATTTTATTTTATTGGTTTGGACTTTTTAATGTATTTCATATCTAATATCCCTGACCCGACAAAGAGTAAAATAGGAAAGCATAAAATAAAATAAATAGTGGTATTGTCTTGTCTCCTGTGCTTTACTAATAATATAATATAATATATTGTATATACATATAATATTTATAATATTATAATGTAATACAGCATAATACAATATTATAATTATATATTTTATATTACATGTAATATTACTAATAATATTACAGTATAATGGTATAGGGCAATATAGTAATATATAATACTGATATTGTACTATGCTAATAATATAATATATTGTATGTGTGTGTGTGTGTGTGTGTGTATGTATGTGTGTGTGTGTGTGTGTGTGTATATATATATATATATATATATATATAGTAAGCCGCTCTGAGTCCCCTTCGGGGTGAGAAGAGTGGCATATAAATGTTGTAGATAAATAAATGAATAAATAAACATTGTATTGTCGAAGGCTTTCATGGCCAGAATCACTGGGTTGTTGTAGGTTTTTTCGGGCTATATGGTCATGTTCTAGAGGCATTCTCTCCTGACGTTTCGCCTGCATCTATGGCAAGCATCCTCAGAGTTAGTGAGGTCTGTTGGAACTGGGAAAAGGGGTTTATAGATCTGTGGAATGACCAGGGTGGGACAAAGGACTCTTGTCTGCTGGAGCTAGGTGTGAATGTTTCAACTGACCACCTTGATTAGCATATAATGGCCTGACAGTGCCTGGAGCAAACTTTTGTTGAGAGGTGATTAAATGTCCTTGTTTGTATCCTCTCTGTTGTTGGGTTTCAGAATGCTCTTTGATTGTAGGTAAACTATAAATCCCAGCAACTACAACTCCCAAATGCCAAGGTCTGTTTTCCCCAAACTCCACCAATGTTCACATTTGGGCATACTGAATACTCATGCCAAGTTTGGTCCAGGTCTATCATTGTTTTGAGGCCACAGTTTTCTCTAGATGTCGGGGAACTACAACTCCAAAACTTAAGGTCAATTTCCACAAAATCCTTCTAGTTTTTCTATTGGTCATGGGAGGTCTGTGTGCTAAGTTTGGTTCAATTCCATCATTGGTGGAGTTCAGAATGGACTCAACCAGTGGTCCACAAGAACTTAACTGTGGTCCGTGGACTCACCATTAATACTAGGGATAATAACACAGCCCAACAAAAAGACATTCTTAGTGTCGTTGTTTTTAGGCTCTAGATTATTAAATATGGTTTTCTGTGGGTAAACATATGGTGACTACTAGATGGCATATTTTCTATATCAGAAACTAGAGCTGATGTGGTCTATCCAATGCAATTTTCTGAGTCAGCACCCTAAATAACCAAACTGAATCTAAAGTTAACCAAAAACCGATTTGTAACCATTTTGGTACTAATGTTGGAGAGTTGTCCCTGGTCAAGTGGTCCCTGGTCAAGAATAGATTGGGAACCACTGTTGTAGATGTTCCTTATTATTCCCCCCCCCCCCACGAAGTTAGCAACCACTGCAGATAAAGAGTCTTGCTTTAGGTAACCAGCTGCTCTCTGCATGTTCCTTAGGAATTGCAGTGTGATGTGTCCGTTGAGGAAGACAACAGGCAAGAATGGACTTTCACGCTGTATGACTTCGACAACAATGGGAGGGTCACACGTGAGGTGAGTGAAGTTAACCGTCTGAATCCCATTGTTAGAGTAGACCCATTGAGTCATTGAGATCTTCCTACATGTTGACTCCCCACTCAATGGTTGACTTGAACAAGCCTTCTCTGTTTGGGGCTATACTACTTGTTAATTCAGAAAATCCCTCATATTGTCTGCATTGAATTGGTTTTGGGGTGGGAGATACCTCAAGTTGATTTGCTAATCTGCTATGATATCTAAGGTCCATTCCATACAGCGCTATATCCCAGAATATCAAGGCAGAAAAACCCACAACATCTGCTTTGAACTGGGTTATCTGAGTCCACACTCAGACAATGTGGGATTTCCTGCCTTGATATTCTGGGATATACGGCTGTGTGGAAGGGCCCATAAAATGCTTGGAAAATTGGTGGTTTGGAAAGAGCACATGGAAGACCTTTCTGTACAGCTCAAAATCATAAAGGATTTCTGTCAATTGAGAAATACTGGGAAAGTTGGTTGAGAGTAACCCCCCTCCAAAGAAAACGTGAAAAAGTAGGCGTAGTTGAGGAAGTCCTACTCAAGAATTGACTACTGCAGCATGCTCTCCATGGGGCTGCCCTTGGATAGTCACTTCTGCCGCAATGAGAACTTTCAAAGGAGTTGGACAAGACCTTCTCTGGCCCCTTCTACACTGCCACATAATCCAAATTATCAAAGCAGATTATCCACATGAAAGGGTGGAAGGAGAAAGAGGGAGAGAGGGAAGGAGGGAGGAAAGAGAGAAGGAAAGAAAGACAAAAGGGAGAAAAGGAAGGATTAAAGGATAGAAGGGAAGGAAGGAAGGGTAGAAGGGAATGGAGGGAAGTAAGAAAGGACAAAGAGGGAGAGAGGGAAGGTGGGAGGAAAGAGAGAAGGAAGGAAGGATGAAAGAGTGGAAGGGAAAGATGGAAGGAGTAAAAGGGAGAGAAGGAAGGAGGGAGGAAAGAGCAAAGGAAGGACAAAAGGGTGGAAGAAACAGATGAAAGGGTGGAAGAGACATATGGAAGGAGACTTACTTACTTAGGCGATCCCTCGTTGGCCGAGTAGGATAGTCTTCCAGGATCAGAATTCTTGTGAGTCTGTAGGTGTCTGAGGAGCCCTATTCTTGATCTGCATCTTCTTCCACAGTGAGGGCATTGGTTTCCAGGTGGAAGGCAGTGTCTGTCGGGGTTGGCTTGATGCGCCTTCCTCTTGGCATGTTTCTCTCTTTCACCTTCCATTCGTGCCTCTTCAAATTCTGCAGCACTGCTGATCACAGCTGACCTCCAGCTAGAGCGATCTAGGACCAGGGCTTCCCAGTTCTCAGTGTCTATGCCAGAGTTTTTAAGGTTGGCTTTGAGCAAGAGGGAGGTAACAAAGGGAGGTAAGGAGGAAGTAAAGAGAGAAGGAAGGAAAAACAAAAGGGAGAGAAGGAAGGAAGGAAGAATGAAGGGTGGAAGGAAAGGAAGGGTGAAAGGGTGGGAAGGAGGAGAAAAAGAGAGATATGGAAGGAAGGGAAGGGAGGGAAGAAGGAAGGAAAGAGAGAAGGAAGGATACAATGATGAGGGACAGGAGGGTCTGATAAAAGAGCCCAAGGGGCTGCATCTGGCCCTGGGCCTGGGTTTGCCCACACATGATCTACACTATAGAATTAATGCAGTTTGACACTTGTTGAACTGCCACAGCTCAATGATATGGAGAAGTAACACATTAAAAAAAAACAACTAATAATTTATAAGCTCTGGAGCTGAATGTGATCTGCAAACCTCAGCATCAAGTCCAAGAGCTATTTTCATCTGAGAGAAGTCTCTCTCTATAAGCAAGTTTTAGTCCAGTATATCTGGAAGGTACCAGCATGGAACACAGCTGTGCTTGATCCATACATGTCAAGATGTTGTTTGATGTTTCAGACATGTGCGAGTGTGTGTATATGAACCAGTCTTTTATTCCATGGCTTTTGGAATCCATACATTATTACTTTTTAAATATTTTTTGTGTCTTTGTTGTTTAATATCAGTCATTAGCTGCCTAGAAAATAAAGTTTTAGTGACAAAAATCAGGTGCTTGTTTTGGAAAGGGATCAAACCCGAAAACAAGTGACTCTCTAAACAGAGTGTCAGAAGAAACCTTTGCCAGCGTATATTCCTTTTGGCTCCTCACTCGGCCTTTATAGCTGAGCTAAGGAAACGGCACGTGTGCTCTTTGAAATTCTTTCCAAAGGGATTAAGGATGACGGTCAATCATATTTACAGGCATGGAACAGAGGTTGGGCGGCCAACCCTGTCAAATTATAGGCTGCCCACCATCAGCTTTAATTACACAGAGACAAAATATAGCTGGTGCCTTTCAGGACAAGAGAGGAGCAGAGCATTTGTTTACTTGCTTGTGGTTGTTCGATGCTGCCTAATAATTGTGTTATTTTAAAAAGGTATTTTAGATTTAGCGATAAAATACTCAGAGGCAGTATTCATCCATAATGCAATAAAAAGGGTAGGTTTGTACCGAATTTAATAGAGGAACAGTACAATTTTATTTTAAAAAAAGACATAGGTAAAAGTAAAGGTTTTCCCCTGACATTAAGTCTAGTCAAACTATCTATAATGCACAGATATCTATGTAACAATGCAACAATATCGGTTTCAATAGCAAAGAACAATTCAAAACAATAATAATTCCACAATTATTTTAGTCTTGCTTCCCAATTCCAACTGGGTTCTAATTGTGACTCTACTGTAACTCTTGACATGGTCTACATAAATGTTCAAAGGGAATTAGTACATGTGATGAATATAACCTTTTGCCAGGAAGGCTGAAGCCTGGAAAGTCAGTAGCTGACATGTTGAGAGATAGGCAGGAGAGCTAAGAGGCAAGAGGGAGGAGTCAGCCGACTCCTGATTGGCTAGAGCAATCAGGGGAGGAGCTAGCTTTTAGAGGGAAAAAAGTCTGTGTCTTTTGACAAGCTGGAGAGAAGAGCTTTAAACATCGAAGAGTGTAGAAGGATAGTTAGGAAGAGGGAGCTGTGAAGAATTTAGACAGGGAGAGAGAACTTTTGAAGTGAGCCTTGTAGTTAGAGCATAGGATAGGCAAAGGTTCCTGGTTCACTGTACAGAGTAGGGTCAGTGAAGGACAGCCTGTTTTGCTCTGTGAGGCAGTCAGTGGGCCATTCTCAGGGACACACTGTGTCAGTGTAGTGGCCAGTGTGAGGCAAGGAACTCACAGGGAACAAAAGTTAAAGTCTTCAAGAAAGACTGCTTGTCTAAACAGCTAAGCCTCAAGTAACCGCATTACGCTTTTGTACCACTCTTATTAAGAGTTGATTTGTTCACCAAGTTTAAAATAAACCTGTTTCTAATTTCATCTTAAACTGGTGTCTGCCTCGGTCTGTCACAATCATTAGACCTCTGTTAGCCTAAAGACAACTCAATTTCAGTCCAGTCAGCAAGAGAAACAGTTATTGAAGAAGAACCAAAGGCTTGAACATAATTTACCAGTTTCACATTCACACTTATGTTTTCCTCAGACATTAATTGAGGTGGTGGTGGCGAATCTACCAAATACATCGGTCAATAACTACAACACAGTTGGTCACTTAATAAATATATTACTGAGGTGGGATAAGAGAGTCTTTCCCCCTTTGTCACAGTCATTCATCCCTGTTAAAGTAGTGTCCAGCTGAACGTTAACCCGTTACACTGGTGGCAGCGGTGGGATTTGTATTCCCCCCTGCCCAGTGTGTCGCTTAACATCTTTACACTGTTGGGCAGAGTTGGGATTGCTTGTCCCCTCTGTCCAAGATCACGTTTATCCTTGTTACAGTACACATGTCAAATAATAGTGAACATAACAAGCACAACAGCACAACAACAAGTAATCCCGGGTACACTATTCTTGTTTCGGGGATCCTTCTTCAGATTGTGAGTAGTCTATATCAGTCTTCTGGCATATATTTCCTTCATATACTCCTGGTCGCAAAGTCTCAGTCCTGCTCCAGTTCTAGGTTGTAGCATATATATCCTGTGGCTCAAATCAAGCTCTATTGGATCTTTTTTCTTGCAGATAGTGAGTCTTTAAGTGTCTTTGATTGTACTTATTCAGTCATTTTGCCATTCCAGGCTTTCTTGTGTTTCCTTGATTGCACTTATTCAGTCATTTTACCATTCCAGGCTTTCTTGTGTTTCTTGCATTCTAAACAAAACATAGGTACATACTACTAGTGATTTTACTAAATGAACCAAAATAGATAGGTTACAATCCACCCCTGTGTTCTCCATAACTTTGTTAGAATATATACAGAATAAAAATAATATTATAGAATGGACTTACATACTGTGGCTCATGCAGAGCTCTGTATATTTTCTCTACCTGCAAGTTCCTTATGGTTTACATCCTGTCTTCAAATAGTTAGTTACACTAAAGATAACAGGTGAAGTCCAGTCTGTCGTTAAGGCCTTTGGGGAATATAGAATTCAATTTAAAGGACCAAAGGCCTCACGTAAGCCAACCCAAATCCCCTTGGGGAGATGGTGGTGAGGTATAAATAATAATAATAATAATAATAATAATAATAATAATAATAATTTAATAATAAATTAATAATAATTATAATTAGTGTGGTTCTGATAAGGCAGTGGTTCTCAATCTGTGGGTCCCCAGGTGTTTTGACTTACAACTCCCAGAAATCCCAGCCAGTTTACCAGCTGTTAGGATTTCTGGGAGTTGATGACCAAAACATCTGGGGACACACAGGTTGAGAACCACTGTGATAAGGACTGGAGAGGAATCCGATTGTATCATACAATGGGAAGACCTATGATTATAATATCACCTTTGTATAGTTGTGAAAGCTCCTGGTAGCATAGTGGATTAAACCGCGGAGCTGCTGAACTTGCTGACTGAAAAATCACAGGTTCGAATTTGGGGAGCGGCATGAGCTCCTGCTGTTAGCCCCAGCTTTTGCCAACCTAGCCGTTCGAAAACATGCAAATGTGAGTAGATCAATAGCTAGCTTAACGGCGCTAATGCCGCTCCATGCAGTCATGCTGGCCACGTGACCTTGGAGGTGTTTACGGACAACGTCGGCTCTTTGGCTTAGAAATGGAGATGAGCACCAACCCCCAGAGTCGGACACGACTGAACTTAATATCAGGGGAAAACCTTTACCTTTCCTTATGACTAGTTGTATATAAGTGTAAGCTTATTTTTTGTGTCAGGAGTGACTTGAGAAACTGCAAGTTGCTTCTGGTGTGAGAGAATTGGCCATCTGCAAGGACATTGCCTAGGGGATGCTCAGATGTTTTGATATTTTACCATCCTTGTGGGAGGCTTCTCTCATGTCCCCTCATGGGGAGCTGGAGCTGATAGAGGGAGCTCATCCGTGCTCTCCCCTGATTTAAATCTACAACCTCTTGGTCTTCAGTCCTGCTGGCACAAGTGTTTAGCCCACTGCGTTACCGGGCAATGAGCTAACACTGGTGTAAGCTTTGGTTACAGAATTATGATCAAGATCTCATTTTTTCCTCTGGCACCACAAATGAGATAAATTAGAACACAGCTGGTCCATGTGAGCCAAGTTGTCACATCAAAAAGAAAGATAACTTGAGCCGAGAATGAGAGCACATAGATGCATATTTGTCCTGTGTCTCAAGTGTAAGATCTCTGGCCACTGAATGCATTAACCAGACCCCTTTGTGAAACATTTCAGGCACACATTTACACTTTGATGTTCAAGCTTCTGAAGTGGTCACAGTATATCAAAGACTTACTGGCCATGCTAAATATTTTCAGGATTGCCCCGCTATCCTGTGGCTGCAGAGTCCACAGGGTATTGAAATAAACAATCTGCGGTGCTCTCGCGGCTGAATTTTCATCTATATTGTCCTGTCCGCAGGGTGCTTACATTTGGTGCATGGATATATATGTGCCCGAAATCGACAAAACAAAATATAAGCTGTGACACAACGATGAGATGAGATCACAGGGCACCTGCTGATTCAGTATGACTTGCAGGCAATGGAAATTACCTATAGCAGGAGATCAGCAAAGTTGTTTACGACCGTCCAGATCTTTTTTGGGCTTAGTCATGCGTGAAGTGCAGAACTGTTTGACCCGATGAGTTAGGAAGAAGATTGTCGTTTCAAAAGTGATATATATTAGCCACATGTTGCAGTTGTTCCTGAAACAAGTTGCCTGGTGAGCACCATAGTGAGTCGCCTCTTAGCTGTGTGGTTTTGTTTCAAGAGGCGCTGTGTTTACTAATGGGATTTCTGATAGGTGAGGAGTGCTATCAAGAAGAGACGGAAGGAAAAAGGAGCACATCGAGTTTGCTCACCTGTCTCATTGCAAGCAGTTGGTCTATGGTGCAGGCTGTTTTCATTTTTATGCCGGAGGCTACATACAAGCTGTCAACCCATTCTGGGAAGTTAGACACCGAACGTGGAATGTTATTTTTGTGACAAATGTTGGTTGGTTACTTTTTCAAAGTTACCCATTGGCCATTAGTTGGTTACTTTAAAACTGACACATAGTAGCATGCTACTAATAAGTTACTTCATGGTTATTATTATCAATTTCATGTCCAAGTGAATATTACAGGTTGAACATTCTTTCTCAAAAATGCTTGGGATCAGAAGTCTTTCAGATTTCTTTCAGGTTTTGGAATACCTGTATTGCATTTACATAATGAGATATCTTGGTGATAGGACCCAAGTCTAGATATGATATTCATTTTTATGTTTCATAAACACCTTGTACATATAATTTGCATATACAGTAGAGTCTCGCTTATTCGACCTTCACTTATTCGACATTCTGTCTTATCCAACGGTCTTATCCAAAGGAGGGAGGATGCAGGACCGGAAGCGGAAGTGTAATCCCTCCTTCCCTCTGTGATTTCCATGCTGAGCGTGCCTTCTGGTGTGAGCGGAGCAGGGAGAAGCGAGGAGGAGAGCAGACAGTGAAAAAAGCAGGCGGCATTGGTCGGGCCTGCTATCTGTCCCCTCTCACGAGACTTGTGGCTCATCTATTCCGGGGCCTTACTTTTTTCTCGAGCCTTGCAGCCCACTTCTGGGGCTTGCTGCTTCCTTTTTCCTTTTGGGGCCTTTTTTCTGAGCATCAGGGCTTGTTGCTCCATGGGGCCTAGCTGCCTCCTTTCCGGAAGCTTTGCAAAGCACCCAGGTTGACCCCTTCCTAGAAGTCTCGAAAAGCACTTGAGCCTGGCCGACTCCTTTCCAGATGCCTTGCAAAGTACCCGGGTTGACCCCTACCCAGAGGCCTCAAAAAGCACTCAAGCCTGGCTGACTCCTTTCCAGAGGCCTTGCAAAGTGCCCGAGTTTATCCCTTCCCAGAGGCCTCGAAAAGCACTTGAGTCTGGCTGACTCCTTTCCGGAGGCCTTGCAAAGTACCCGGGGTTATCCCTTCCCAGAGGCCTCGAAAGGCACTCGAGCCTGGCTGACTCCTTTCCGGAGGACTTTGCAAAGTACCCGGGTTGACCTCTTCCCAGAGGTTTCGAAAAGCAATCAATCCCGGCAGACTCCTTTCTAGAAGCCTTGCAAAGTACCCGGGTTGACCCCTTCCCAGAGGCCTCAAAAAGCACTCGAGCCTGGCCGACTCCTTTCCGGAGGACTTGCAAAGTACCCGGGTTGACCTCTTCCCAGAGGTTTCGAAAAGCCATCAAACCCGGCCGACTCCTTTCCAGAAGCCTTGCAAAGTACCCGGATTGACCCTTTCCCTGAGGCCTCGAAAAGCACTCGAGCCTGGCCGACTCCTTTCCGGAAGCCTTGCAAAGTACCCGGGTTGACCCCTTCCCAGAGGTCTCGAAAAGCACTCGAGCCCAGCCGACTCCTTTCCAGAAGCCTTGCAAAATACCCGGATTGACCCCTTCCCAGAGGCCTCGAAAAGCACTCAAGCCCAGCCGACTCCTTTCCAGAAGCCTTGCAAAGTACCCCGGTTGACCCCTTCCCACTGGCCTCGAAAAGCACTCCAGCCTGGCCGACTCCTTTCCGGAAGCCTTGCAAAGTACCCGGGTTGACCCCTTCCCAGACGTCTCAAAAGCAATCAAGCCTGACTGACTCCTTTCCAGAAGCCTTGCAAAGTACCCGGGTTGACCCCTTCCCAGAATCCCCGAAAAGCACTCAAACCTGGCCAATTCCTTTCCGGAGGACTTGCAAAGTACCCGGGTTGACCCCTTCCCAGAGGTTTCGAAAAGCAATCAAGTCCGGCCGACTCCTTTCCAGAAGCCTTGCAAAGTACCCGGGTTGACCCCTTTCCAGAGGCCTCGAAAAGCACTCGATCCTGGCCGATTCCTTTCCAGAAGCCTTGCTAAGTACCCAGGTTGACCCCTTCCCAGAGATCTCAAAAAACACTCGAGTCTGACCGACTCCTTTCCAGAAGACTTGCAAAGTACCCGGGTTGACCCCTTCCCAGAGGCCTCGAAAAGCACTTGAGCCTGGCTGACTCCTTTCCGGATGCCTCATGAAACACCTGAGCCTTGCCACTGTCCTCTTCCGGGGCCGACTGTTTCTAGATGTCTCACTCCACGTAGTCGAAAAGTAGTGCCAAAGACAAGGGAACTGGGAGGAGAGGGGGCTGTAGGAGACTCTGTATTATCCAACATTTTCCTTTATCCGATGTTCTGCTAGCTCATTTATGTCGGATAAGCGAGACTCTACTGTAATTTTATACAATATTTTCAATAGTTTTTGTGAACGAAACAAAGTGTGTGTGTTGAACCCACTGAAAGTAAAGGTTCCACTTTCTCAGATGAAGCAACTTGTCATTGGTTGATGTGTTGTGCTGTCCCAGAATACTGATAAATCTTCTAAAAGGTCCTGGGAAAATGGAGCAAAGGTGATCCTGTGTGAGAAGCAAGAAGCAAAATTAGAAAGTGTTCTTAATTTCTGTACTAAACACATTTCTCCTCTGTGTTCCTTCCCTTCTTTGTTGATTCTAGGACATTACTAGCTTGCTTCATACCATCTATGAAGTAGTTGATGCTTCGGTCAATCACTCTCCAAGCTCTAGCAAAACCTTGCGGGTAAAGCTCACCGTGGCCCCAGATGGGAGCCAGAAAAAGAAAAGTATCCTACTGAACCATGCCGGTAAGTGTTTCTATCGCAAGCATGTTCACTTCCAGTATCTCGTTCTATGCCAATAAATTACCCAAGAGATTTCTGTTGTCCAAACTCTGATTGGATTTTCCTTCTTTGACTGTATTTTCCTGCATGGGTGAATGGAGTTGGACTGGATGGCCCTTGTGGTCTTTTGCAGTTCTGTGAGTCTATTACTGTAACGTGCTGAACTGTTTTTAATGCACTTGGGTATTTAATGATGAAACTTTTGAAACAAATATGATTTAGCTCTCATTTGTTGCATTTAGTTGGGTGCCACCTTGGTCCTGCACCAGAAGAAGGATGTGGGATATGAGATAGGTAGGTAGGTAGACTTTTGTGTTTTGTTTGGGACTCTCTTACAAAGTCCCAAACAAAACACCAGTCTTCCATCAGACAACAGGCAATGAACTAAGTCCTTAGCAGCAGACACAAAGCGATTCCATAGGAGTGCAATCATCAGTATCAGGGTCGTTGTTACCAGCGAAAGCTGACTGTTCCTGCTTCTGATTTATAGCCCTGAATTCCCCATGCAGGAGGTGCTAGTGTGTCTCCCAATTAGCTCAGCGTTTTTAGCAGCTATGCTAGCTGAACGCCGCCTGTGCTCTGTCTCTTTTCATCTCTTCAAAACCTCATTGTCTGATTCTTCTTCTCCCTCCAATTCTTGAGTACTTCCCTGTTCCCCTTCCTCTTCCAAAGATGAGGAATCCCTAACATTATTACATTTATTTCTTTACTCTATTACTTCATTTATTATTTTACTTTATCATTGTTGTTATTACATTTCCATTATTTTACTCTATTATTATTATTACATTTATTCATTTACTGTCCCTATTATCATTGGAAGGATACGTAAGCACATTTGCATTGAAGAAGGTTAGAATAATGGTTTAATCAGGGTTGGACAGTCTTATCATAAATTACAGTTTTATGTAAATATTCAAAAACATGTAACCTACTGATGCCTCAATTAATGTAATTTTGTTGGTATCTGTTTTTATTTTGAAATTTACCACTAGCTGCTTCATTTCCCTCCCTCAACCTATTCTCGGGTCAATATGTTTTCCCAGTTTTTTTGTGGTAAAATTATGTGCTTCGGCTTATATTCGGGTCAGCTTATACTCGAGTATATACGGGTACATCCTTTCATTCTAAAAGTTGGGAATATCTCTCCAAATAGTGCAGTCATGGCATGTGGCTTCTGTCATTTGGCCTTTGAACCTACTCTGAATTTTAGTATGAACTTTAAACAAATCATGCAATGTGTTGATTGTATTTTGTCATTACATGTCAGTACCTTTGGTCACTTGTTTGAAGTTCAAACTAAAATTGGGACATAGGAGCCACTGCTTCTCTTTCGTTCCCTCTCTACTCTTGGCTTTGAGAACACGCTGCTGTTTGCTTGCTGTCCGCATAGAGAAGAGATAAGTGCTATTTGCTCACTTTCTCAAAGAACTAATAGTGAAAGGTAGGGAAAAAAAATAACATGTGGTTTTGTATTGTGGGGGCAGATCTCCAAAGTTCAAGACACCGAGCAGAAAGCAAAGGCAATGAAGAACTAAGGAACTGTGAAAAGAGACAGAGGGGTTCCCTCAGGTAAGCTGAAACAAAACCTCTTCATTTCTCTTGTGCGTAGGGACCATTTGAGAAAATGAACCAAACAGATCTAGTCACCGATTAACCATCACTTGGCTACCATGAGATCTTATCCTTTTTAGAGTAATATTGAGAAAAGTAATGAAGAATACTTTCCAAGAAACTCCCATGACAAGTTAGTTTTAAGGCAGTGTTTCTCAACCTTCCTAACGCTGTGACCCCTTAACCTAGTTCCTCATGTTGTGGTGACCCCCAACTATAACATTATTTTCGTTGCTACTTCATAACTGTAATTTTGCTACTGTTATGAATCATAATGTAAATATCTGCTATTCAGGATGTATTTTCATTCTTTGGACAAAATTTGGCCAAAGACTTGATTTTGATTTATTTTGTTGTTTGGGAGTTGTAGTTGCTGGGATTTATAGCTAACCTACACTCAAAGAACATTCTGAACTCCACCAACGATGGAATTGAACCAAACTTGGCACATAGAACTCCCATAACCAAGAGAAATACTGGAAGGGTTTGACCTTGAGTTTTGGAGTTGTAGTTCACCTACATCTAGGGAGCACTGTGGATTCAAACAATGATACCAAACTTGGCACAAATGCTCAATATGTCCGAATGTGAACACTGGTGGAGTTTGGGGAAAATAGACCTTGACACTTGGGAGTTGTAGTTGCTGGGATTTATAGTTCACCTGCAGTCAAAGAGCATTCTGAACCCCACCTATGATAGAATTGGGCCAAGGACAGGTGGAGAGATCTCCTGGGGAGGCCCTATCTCAAACACGCTTGGCGAGATAAGGGACATGGCCTTTTCGGTGGTGGTCCTCTGCCTGTGGAACTCACTCCCCAGGGAAATTAAGTCATCTTCATCCCTCCTCAACTTTAGAAAAAAGTTAAAAACGTGGATGTGGGACTTGGCACAAATGCTCAATATGCCCGAATGTGAACACTGGTGGAGTTTGGGGAAAATGGACCTTGACACTTGGGAGTTGTTGTTGCTGGGATTTATAGTTCACTTGCAATAAAAGAGCATTCTGAACCCCACCTATGATAGAATTGGGCCAAACTTCCCACACAGAACCCCCATACCTTGAAGAGACTCGCTGGTGCGAGCCTCCCTCCAGCCTCATACACTCTCCCTCACCTGCACATGTGCACCACGCTGCCATGCACTGAGCATCCCTGCTCTCACCTCCATACTTGGCACACATTGGCTGAGAGGCCAGGCAATCACAGCAGATTGCCCCCTTGGCTGAGAGACCAGGCAATCACAGCGGAGGAGGGCTTTTAGTGACAGAATTTGCCACTTGTTTCCAAAAAGAAAGAGAAGGACAGGCAGAGAGATCTTCTGGGGAGGCCCTGTCTCAAACACGCTTGGCGGGGATGAGGAACAAGGCCTTCTAGGTGGTGGACCCCTGCCTGTGGAATGAACTCCCCAGAGAAATTAGGTCATCTTCATCCCTCCTCACCTTTAGAAAAAAGTTAAAAACGTGGATGTGGGACCAGGCCTTTGGGTAATTAAGCGGACAATGACAATTGCAGTGTTGACAATCGCTTGGAAATGGATTATGGATATTTATTATTTATTTACAGCATTTATATTCTGCTCTTCTCACCCCGCAGGGGACTCAGGGCGGATTACAATGTACACATATATGGCAAACATTCAATGCCAATTAGACATACAATGTATATAGACATACACAGAGGCTATTTAACTTTTTCTGGCCGCCAGGGGAGCTTTCATTGTCCATCTGCGACACTGATGAAGTACTTCCACATTCCCCGCATGCTTTGCTGGAGTGCTTTTTGCTGGAGACTTTTTATGGCCTCATAAATTAGTTAATTAGCCTCCCCACACATAGGTGGTACCTAATTTTCCTACTTGACAGATGCAACTGTCTTTCGGGTTGCAAAGGTTGACAACAAGCTACACAACTGGCTGGACACTCACTCCGACCCGGGCTGGCTTCAAACTCATACCTTCTGGGCAGAGTGATCTTAATGCAGCTGACACTCAGCCAGCTGCGCCACAATTCCAGATAAGTTTGATGGAGCATCCAACCACAGTTTTCGGCTAATAATGGCCACCAGAGTGGTAATTCTTAGTAGATTTTAATTGTATTGTTTTAATGTTTTTAACTATTTATAATTAGCCACTCCAAGTCCCCCGGGGGGGGGGGGTTGAGAAGGGCAGGGTAGAAATGTTGTAAATAAATAAACAAACCCCCCAGGGGTCCCAACCCTCATGTCGTGAAACGCTGCCTTAGGGTCTCCATAAGTCAGTACTGACTTGAAGTCCCACAACAACAACAACAACAACAACAACGATGTGCTAGTCCTTAGTAGCAAATCTACCAGAGAATCTAAGGGTTCCTTCAAAGCTAATGAATTTATAGACAAGTAAGCTTTTGTCAGCACAAAAAGGATAAATCATATTCCTCATGAACCATTTGTGGAAAACAAGAGTATGTACTTTTTGAAAGAATTTGCAGAAATGCCCTTTAGATAGGAGTTTTTTTCCCCCCTTCAAAAATGTTTTTTTTCCCCTCATGTGACTCTGGGGCGCATCAGTTTCCAGCAAAAGTACAGAGACAGTGGTCTCTTTTATGCACAGCTGCAGGTATTGTTCTAGCCTTGAAAAGATTAGATAAAACAGCCCTATTTGAAGTTGTGTCTCCCTGAAGGAATGTGCAATATTATTTAGGATGCCAGTCTGGGAACGAGGCCTTGTTTCTCTGCAAAAACATCTTGTCATGTTCCTGGCAAAGATTAGCAGAGTGAAACGCTTGGCTAAGATTTGCCTTAGTATCGTGCCTTTTCATCTGGCTTATTCATGTATTTTGATGTCTATCCCGTCGTTTCCTCGGGACATTGTGCAGGTAACGACGTGTAAAATACGAAAATGCGACAGAACAAAGTGTGCAAACATCCACTTGCCATCTTGGAACTGATTAAAACTGCCCTACATTTACTTTGTCTGACCTTTGAAGGATGCAATTAAAGGAAAGCAGATCCAAAATGTTTGAAGAGTTTCTGGAAAATCTGGAGGGGCTTTGACAACTATTGGAGACATAGAACTTTTGTATTATGAACCCCAGAATTCCCCAATAAGTATTCGGTTCTTACAAATACTTCTCCTTGATCTAAAGCAATGGGGCAGGGATCCTTTTCTTCCTTTTTGGAAACAGACAGTGAATCTTCTCTCCAAAAGTCCTCCTCCGATGTGATTCGCCAACCTCTCAACCTAGGGGAGGCTGTTTCTGAGACTCCAAGCAGGAGGGGAGAGCAGGTGAGCTTGGTGCATAGCCGCATGGTGCGCATGTGCAGGCAAGAGAGCGCATGCGAGGCTGGAGGGAAGTTCATGCCAGGGTGACCCTTCAAGGCATGGGGCAGGGGCGGCTCAACCCAAAGTAAGCATTTGCAGTATAGTTGATTTGGGGAAAAATAGACCTTGACATATGTGAGTTGTAGTTACTGGGATGTATAGTTCACCTACAATCAAAGAGCATTCTGAACTCCACCAATGATGGAATTGAACCAAATATGGCACACAGAACTCCCACAACGAACAGAAAATATATATCAGTGATTGGTTGGGGGGGGGGGGGCAAAATACTGTTTGCTTACCATTGAAAATTACCTAGGGCCGCCTCTGTCCACAAGACCCACCCAGAGGAAAAGTGTTCCTGCCATACATCAAGGGAACCACTGATCGCATAGGGAAGCTGATGAGGAAACAACATACAAACAATCTACAAACCCACCAAGAAAATCCAACAAATGCTACGTTCAGCAAAGGACAAGAGGGATCCTCTCACCTCTGCAGGAGTCTACCGTGTACCATGCAGCTGTGGACAAGTCTACATAGGGACTACCAAACGCAGCGCCCAAACAAGAATCAAGGAACATGAAAGGCACTGCAGACTACTTCAACCAGAGAAGTCAGCCATAGCAGAGCACCTGATGAACCAACCTGGACACAGCATATTATTTGAGAACACAAATGCTGGACCACTCTCACAACCACCATGTCAGACTACACAGAGAAGCCATTGAAATCCACAAGCATGTGGACAATTTCAACAGAAAGGAAGAAACCATGAAAATGAATAAAATCTGGCTACCAGTATTAAAAAACTCAAAAATTACAACAGCAAAACAGCAGAGAGGAAACAACCAGGCACATCTTAACACCTCTCAACAAAAGATTTTCCCAGGCTCAGCCAGGCCTTCAAATGCTAATGAAGGTGGTCAGCTGAAACATTCACACCTAGCTTCAGCAGAGAGCTCTTTGCCCCACCCCAGTCATTCCACAGAAATATAAACCCATTGTCCTATTTCCAACAGACCTCACTACCTCTGAGGATGCTTGCCATAGATGCAGGCGAAACGTCAGGAGAAATGCCTCTAGAACATGGCCCTATAGCCCGAAAAAACCCACAAGAACCTAGTGATTCCAGCCATGAAAGCCTTCGACAATACATTATCACAATGCAATTAAAAAACCTGGCAGGGCCAAATGTAAAGATTAATTTTTTAAAAAAAAATGCTGGGTATGACCAGGTGAAAAAGGATGGATATTTTGGGGGGTAAGTGGGTGTGCAGACAATTCTAACTCTCTCGTAAAGTGCATTTGGGACATATTGCTTGGGATTCCTTAATCTGGGAAGGCACACTGGTACATCCATGTTTTCAAGCTCTTTCTGAAGGCTGCCAATGTTGGGGCAACCCTGATGTCCTTGGGGAGGGAGTTCCAGAGTCGTGGGGCCACCATCGAGAATTCTATCGTTGGTGGGGTTCAAAATACTCTTTGATTGTATGTGAACTATACATCCCAGCAACTACAACTCTCAAATGTCAAATGTCAAGGTCTATTTCCCCCAAACTCCACCAGTGTTCACATTTGGACATATTGAGTATTCATGGCACATTTGGTCCAGATCTATCATTGTTTGAGTCCACAGTGCTCTCTGGATGCAGGTGAACTACAACTCTAAAACTCTAGGTCAATACCCACCAAACCTTCCAGTATTTTTTTGGTGGTCATGGGAGTTCTGTGTGCCAAGTTTGGTTTAATTCTGTCATTGGTGGAGTTTGCAATGCTCTTTGATTGTAGATTAACTACAGTTTTTTTCCAAATTATAATCTGGCCCTCCCAACAGTTTGAGGGACTGTGACCTGGCCCTATGTTTAAAAAGCTTGAGGATCCCTGGTCTAGGATTTGGAATTTATATGTATATATTTTAATGTCCTGTTTTAGTCTTTCAAAAAAATGTTCCTATACCTGAACATACTTCCCTTGGACATAATAATGCATTTCTGCAGCATGATTAAAACTCCCAGCGAACAGTCTCTGCCTTTCTTTCTCCCTCTTTCTCCTTGGCTTGTTTGGCTCACAATGACTGGTATTTCAGATATTCATTCTCAGGAAATAGTTCTGCTATAAATAAATTGGTAGTGTAGAACAGGAAGGAGAGCTCAATGAATGGAGTGAGCGGTGGATCAGGCTTTATTAAAACTGTTTGCCAGCCTCACACCCCTCCGCCTCCGGTCTGCCGGCTCCCCTAGAAACGGGAGTGTGTTCTTTATCTCCCAGGGTTTGAGCCTCGACACTCGTTCGTTTGCCAGGCACGTTGCAACTCCAAGGAGACCCCCAATGGCTGGCTAGGCATTTCATCAAACTTACTGGCAATAGCAGACTTCAAGCCATTCTTGGATTAAGGACGATTTACCCCAGACCCAGGCTGTTATGTCAGACGGAACTGAATCAAAGTTGTGCTCATTCATATAAATCAAGAGTTGACAACTTCCAGGGGTTCAGAGATTGTACTAGGCATCCCTCAATGATGAGCTACTCCCATGGGTTGCTTTATTATGGGTGTTTTTTTATTATATTAGTACATAGCTGCCATATCTGTTAAGACACAAAGTGGCTACCAATACTGGCTACCAGTATTAAAAAACTCTAAAATTACAACAGCACAGGGAGGAAACAAACAAGGACATCTAATCACCTCTCAACAAAAGTTTGCTCTAGGCACTGTCAGGCCATTATATGCTAATCAAGGTGGTCAGTTGAAACATTCACACCGAGCTCCAGCAGACAAGAGTCCTTTGTCTCACCCTGGTCATTCCACAGATATATAAATCCCTTTTTCCTAGTTCCAACAGACCTCACTACCTCTGAGGATGCTTGCCATAGATGCAGGCGAAACGTCAGGAGAGAATGCCTCTAGACCAGGGGTTCTCAAACTTTTTAAATAGAGGGCCAGGTCACAGTCCCTCAAACTGTTGGAGGGCCGGGTTATAATTTGAAAAAAACATGAATGCATTCCTATGCACACTACACAGATATTATTTGTAATGCAAAAAAACACTTTAAAACAATACAATAATTAAAATGAAGAAAAATTTTAACAAATATAAACTTTAGTATTTCAATGGGAAGTGTGGGCCTGCTTTTGGCTAATGAGATAGGATTTTTGTTGTTTTTGTTGTTGTGTGCTTTCAAGTTGTTTCAGACTTAGGTTGACCCTAAGCGAGGGCTGGGTAAATGACCTTGGAGGGCCGTATGTGGCCCTTGGGCCTTAGTTTGAGGACCCCTGATCTAGACCATGGCCATATAGCCCGAAAAAACCTACAACAACCCAAGACACAAAGTGTTTTTAAAATCTATATAAATAAAAATGTAATGTTCGTTTGTGGGATCAAAAACCACTGGGCGAATTGACACCAAATTTGGGCACAAGATACCTGTCAGGCCAACAAGTGACCATCTCTCATAAAAATACCGGAAAATACAGCAGAAAAGGCTTAAAAAGCAAAAAAAAAAAAAACCAAAAAAACCCCATTAAAACACATGCACAAAACCACATATATACATGCAAACACACATATACACAAATATATACACACACATATATACACACAAAACACATATATACAGACTGGGCCACAGCAACACGTGGCAGGGGATGGCTAGTCTATATAAATAAAAATGTAATGTTCGTTTGTGGGATTAACGTAACTCAAAAAACACTGGGCGAATTGACACCAAGTTTGGACACAGGACCCCTATCAGGCCAACGAGTGACCATCACTCATAAAAATACTGGAAAACACAGCAGAAGGGACTTAAAAGCCAACCCCCTCCCCAAAAAACTACATCACAACGCATGCACAAAACAACATGGCTGTATGGCCATGTTCCAGAAGCATTATCTCCTGATGTTTCACCCACATCTATGGCAGGCATCCTTGGAAGTTGTGAGGTCTGTTGGAAACAAGGCAAACGGGGTTTATATATCTGTGCAATATTCAGGGTGGGAGAAAGAACTCTTGCCTGCTTGAGGCAAGTGTGAATGCTGCAATTGATCACCTTGGTTAGTACTGAAAAGCCTTGCAGCTTCAAGGCTTGGCTGCTTCCTGCCTGGGGAAATCCTTTGTTGGGAGGTGATCAGCTGGCCCTGATTGTAAAGGACAACCTAATTGTAAAGAAAGAACAACACTCAAAAACAGACAAGAAACAATCAGGGCTGGCTAATCACCTCCCAACAAAGGATTCCTCCAGGCAGGAAGCAGCCAAGCCTTGAAGCTGCAAGGCTTTTCAATGTTAATCAAGGTGATCAATTGCAGCATTCACACTTACCTCCAATAGACAAGAGTTCTTTCTACCACCCATACAGCCCGGAAAACTCACAGCAACCCAGTGATTCCAGCCATGAAAGCCTTCGACAACACAGTGATGAGTTTTATGGATGTTGTGTTTTCTTTGTGCACTTTCATTCTCAGAAAATGGATACAAGATCACTTGTTTCCAAATGCTCCTTCGTTTGGACATAATGATGATAATATATGCATTTCCACTTCCTTTCTGCTCCCAGGTACCACCATGGTGAGGCCAAGCTTGAACATAATGGATGCTATCGTCATTGTGTGGATGAAAACATTGAAAGGAGAAACCACTATTTGGATCTTGCAGGCATCGAAAACTATACGTCCAAATTTGGACCAGGTATATTATACCATTTGGATTCCCTACCTTGTTGTTTGTTGTAATGAGATCTCGAGGCTTCTTCCTAAGACACGTTATGCAGGAAATACTACTGTATACAAGTGAGAATGGCAGCATGAGATTCAATGAGGATGTAGGCTGGCAGATTACAGTCAGCCCTGAACATTTATGAGTTTGGTTTTTGTGGATTTGATTATTTGTGGCTTTGATTAAAACAAGATTCCTGGAGAGAAAATCTTTATCAAATCTGTGAATAATCAAATCTGCAGAAGCCAAATGTGGAGGGCCAATTGTAGCTGCATCCCAGGATTTTGCACAAGATTGTGTTGTTTCTGCTGGACCTCTCAGCAGCCTTCAATACCGTTGACCATGGTATCCTTCTGGAACGCCTCACAGGAATGGATCTTGGAGGCAGTTCCCAGAAGGTGTTGTTGGGAGACACCTGCTTGACCCCACAACTATTGTCTTGTGGGGTCCCGCAGGGCTCAATATTGTCCCCCATGTTATATAACATCTACATGAAACTGCTGGGGGAGATCATCCGGAGTTTCGGGGTGCGGTGTCACCTGTACGCAGATGACATCCAACTCTGTCACTCCTTCCCACCTGCTACCAGGCTGTCCAGGTCCTGAACTGGTGCTTGGCCACTGTGACAAAGAAATTGAAATTGAATCCAGACAAGACAGAGGTACTCCTGGTCAGTTGCAAGGCCAAACAGGGCATAGGGTTATAGCCTGTGCTGGATGGGGTTACACTCCCACTGAAGACGCAAGTTCGCAGCTTGGGAGTGATCCTGGACTCATCGCTGGGCCTGGAACCCCAGGATTCGGCAGTGACCAGGGGAGCATTTGCACAATTAAAGCTTATGCACCAGCTGCGCCCATACCTTGGGAAGTCAGACTTGGCCACGGTAGTCCACGCTCTGGTTACATCCCGTATAGACTACTGCAATGTGCTCTACGTGGGGTTGCCTTTGAAAACTGTTTGGAAGCTCCAAATGGTCCAGCGTTCAGCAGCCAGGCTACTAACGGGAGCAGCGCTCAGGAAGCATACAACTCTGCAGTTGCGCCGGCTCCACTGGCTCCCAATTTGCTACCGGGCACAATTAAAAGTGCTGGCTTCAGCCTATAAAGCCCTAAACGGTTTTGGCCCAATTTACCTATCCGAATGTGTCTCCCCTTACGAACCTTACAGGAATTTAAGGTCATCTGGGGAGGGCCTGCTCTCGATCCTGCCTGCCACACAGGCATGCTTGGTGGGGACAAGGGACAGGGACTTCTCAGCAGTGGCCCCTCGGCTGAGGAACTCTCTTCCTGGGGATATTAGATTGGCCCCCTCCCTCCTGACCTTTAGGAAAAGAGTAAAAACCTGGCTCTTCGAGCAAGCTTTTGGAACCTCATTATAACCAGAAAAACTCAGTATTGTGAATGAATAAGGAACGGCTTAATGATGCAAATTGACATGGATTTAAACCTAGAAGTCATTGATTTTAATAGGAGCCCCCGGTGGCGCAGTGGGTTAAACCCTTGTGCCAACAGGACTGAAGACCGACAGGTCGCAGGTTCGAATCCGGGAGAGTGCAGATGAGCTCCCTCTGTCAGCTCTGGCTCCCAATTGCGGGGACATGAGAAAAGCCTCCCTCAAAGGATGGTAAAAACATCAAAAACATCCTGACATCCCCTGGGCAACATCCTTGCAGACGGCCAATTCTCTCACACCAGAAGCGACTTGCAGTTTCTCAAGTCGCTCCTGACACGACAAAAAAATTGATTTTAATAGTTTTAAATTGTTTTTATATTAATCTTATTATGTGATTTAACCTGTTTTAAATTTATATGTGTTTGGCATCTAATTGTTGCCAGTCAGTATGCCGTCCTGACAAGGGCGGGATAAAAGTTTGACAAATAAATAAATAAATAATGGACAGACCATTGTCGAAAGCGTTCATGGACGGAATCACTGGGTTGTTATAGGTTTTTTTGGGTTATATGGCCATGTTCTAGAGGCATTCTCTCCTGACGTTTCGCCTGCCTCTATGGCAAGCATCCTCAGAGGTAGTGAGGTGAGGATGCTTGCCATAGATGCAGGCAAAACGTCAGGAGAGAATGCCTCTAGAACATGGCCATATAGCCCGAAAAACCTACAACAACCCAATGGACAGACCTATTTAGAGCACTTACAGTAATCTAGGCAAGAATTAAAGGTGCTTTGAATGCAATTTTACTGCTTCCTGGCAAGGGTTGGACTGGATGGCCCACAAGGCCTCTTCCAACGCTATGGTTCTATGATTATGCTGGAAATACAGTTGTTTTCAGTGTCTGGTTCTTCTTTCTTAGGCTCTCCACCTGTGGCTCAGAAACACAACCCACCCGTCCGCGTTTCCAATCAAACACGTTCCCGTTCCCATGAGCCTGAAGTCTTCCATGCCCACCAGCGCAGATCTCCAGCAGCAGATCCTGGCCATGTCAGCTTAATGGAAGCTTCCTATGCAAAGCTTGCAGAAATCCAGCAGCGTCTGCGGAATCAAGAGGCAAACAGGCACTTTGTGAAGTCTCCCAAGGCTCAGAGCAAAACCACAGCCTCGGTTAACACGGGAAGGGCCGTACGGAGTAAACCCATCCAAGGGGCATCTGTACCGATGGCTTCCCCTACCGGGCGGGTTGGTCCAAACCTTCCTTACCTGCCCATGCAGTCCCAGCAGACTTACAAGAAACACAAGCAGCGAGCAAAAGAGACTCACCAAGTCTGCAAGACCTTCCCGCCTCCCGGAACAGTCCTGGAGAAAGAACATGTCAGAGACCTGCCTGCGGTCATCTTGTATGAAGGCCAAGTGGGACAGATGATTCAGAGACACGAACACCACCATCACCATGAACATCACCACCACTACCACCACTTCTACCAGACATGAAGTGGACTCGCCACCGCCGCCTGCTAAAGGACCATCCTATATGAAGGAAGCTCTTTGCCGTCGCTCGGGAAGAACAGCGTCGTTTTCATTAACATTGTGGCTACTCCGTTAATATTCGCTAGCACCTATTGTAGGAGTTATATGGAAACACTAAAGTTAATTATAATGATGATAATAATAATAATCTAACACTATTTATATTATGTGGAACTGTATAACTTACTTTAATAACTTGTGGATTTTTGAAAAATAGTTTGGCTTGTTAAAAAACAAATCAATTGGGACTGCAAGAGCAACCAAGCACAGCTCTTGTTCAGGTCATCCCATGAAACTCTCTGGTTGTTCAGTGGAGGCTTGGAAGGGTTTGTGGGTCCAGGAAGACTCTCTCTACCAACCCCTGGGACCGGCTCACATTTTCTCCATGCCTTGATGAACATCCATTGGATATTTATGAAAAGGCATTTCCCCTGCGACTGCGCAGAATGCTCCTGTCTTTGAGTAAGCCCCGCCAGCATGACTTCTCCAGTATAGAAGTGGTCTGAACATCTCTCGGAGGTGATACCATGCATCCTTCCAGATGCTGAACTGTGATTCCTAGCATCCCTCACTACTCTAGTTAGAACTCCTGGGACTTACAGTCCAACAACATCCTACAGCAGAATGTTAGTGCTATTATTTCAATGTAACCTCTATTTCAGGTATGGGCAAACCCAGACCTGGTGGCCAGATGTGGCCCACTGGACTCTTTTCTCAGGCCCTCCTCTCTCACCATCCTATCCTTCCTTCCTTCTCTCTTTCCTTCCTGTTTCCTTCTCCCCATTCCTTACCTACCCCTTTCTCCCTCCCTCTTTCCTCGCCTTCCACACTTTCGTCCTTCCTTCCTTCCTTTCCTCCCTCCCTCCTTCCCTCTCTCGCTTTCTCCTTTCTTCCCTATGGTCTTTCCTTCCTTCCTTCTCCCTCCATTCCCTTCCTCCCTTCCTTCCATCCTTCTCTTCCTCCCACCCTTCTCTTCCACCCTTCTCTCTTTCCTTCCTGTTTCCTTCTCCCCATTCCTTACCTCCCTCTCCCTCCCTCCCTCCTTCCCTTCCACCCTTCCTTCCTTCCCTCCCTCTTTCCTTCCTCCCTCCTTCCCCCTCTCTCTTTCTCCTTCCTTCCTTCCCTTTGTCTTTCCTTCCTTCCTTCTCCCTCCCTCCATTCCGTTCCGCCCTTCCTTCCATCCTACTCTTCATCCCTCCCTTCTCTTCCACCCTTCTCTCTTTCCTTCCTATTTCCTTCTCCCCCTTCCTTACCTCTCTTTCTCCCTTCCTTCCATCCATCCTTCACTTCCTCCCCTCCCTCCCTTCCTTCCACCCTTCTCTCTTTCCTTCCTGTTTCCTTCTACCCCTTCCTTACCTCCCTCTTTCTCCCTCCCTCCTTCCTTGCTCCTTCCTTCCTTCCCTTTGGTCTTTCCTTCCTTCCTTTTCTCTCCCCTCCCTCCATTTCCTTCCACCCTTCCTTCCTTCTCTTCCACCCATCTCTCTTTCCTACCTGTTTCCTTCTCTTCATTCCTTACCTCCCTCTTTCTCCCTCCCTCCTTCCTTCCCTTCTTTATTTTTTAAACATATTTTATTATGCTATAAACACTAATCAACAAACCATATTCCAAGTGTTACAAGCATAAAATCCCGAGTAATTTAACAAATATTAATACCATTATGCTAATTTACACTGGTGTAGATTATATTTTTCCCACCCTCCCTCCCTCCTCAACCACAGTATATTTCTACTAATCATGCAGATCCAGCCACTGGTAGAGTCTTTGTATTTTTTCTTTGATGTGATCGTTGGCTCCTCCATTTTTCACCCAGTTGAAGTAGACCTTCCATCTATTTGTAATGACCTTTTCTTTGTCCGGTCTTGTTGCTTGCTTAGTCATAATTCCCGCAATGTCTAACAGCACTTGATCACACATATAATCATTCCAATTGCTTAACGTTCATTTCGATTTGCCTTTCCATCCTCTAGTGATCGCCGCATGTGCTGCTCTTATTGTTACATTAAATAACTCCTGGCAATTGATTTTTATACTTGGATGTTCCAACACTCCCCATAGTAGTAAATCATTATTAATTTGAATTTTTGCCTGCAATATCTCCTGAATTCTTCCTTGTATCATTTGCCAGAATTTTTTTATTTCAGAACACTCCCACCACTTATGTCAATAAGTGCCTTTTTCTTTATTACAATGGCAACACTTCGAATTCTTTCCTTTTACCATATAAGCCAGTTTTTCAGGAGTTCTAGACCATCTTAATATCATTCATTATATTTTTCTGTTTTTATTTTATTCATGTTCCTTCCTTCCTTCCCTCCCTCTTTCCTCCCTCCCTCCTTCCCTCTCTCTCTCTCTTTCTTCTTCCTTCCTTCCCTTTGGTCTTTCCTTCCAACTTCTCTCTCCATTCCCTTCCATCCTTCCCTTCCTCTCTTTCTCCCTCCCTCCCTTCTCTTCTACCCTTCTCTTTTTCCTTCCTCTTTTCCTCCTGGGGGATGTTTACCTGGGAGAAGAGAAGGTAGAGAGGGAACAAGAGGACCATGTTTCAAGATTTCAAAGAGTTTCCCATTGAGGAGGAGGAGGGGGGAAACTGACTTTCTACTGCTCTAGAGACCAGGGCACAAGGGAACAATGGGTTCAAATGAAAAGGAAAGAGATTTGACTGAAAAGACTAGGAACAACTTTCCGAGAGTAAGAGCTGTTGGAGAGTGGCATAGACTGCCTGGGAGTGTGGTGGAGTCTCCTTCTCTGGAGGCTTTTCCGCAGAGACACTCTATTGGGAGTGCTTTGATTGTGCATTCTTGCATGGCAGGGGATTGGACTGCATGGCCCTTGGGTGTCTCTTCCAACTCTAGGATTCTATATCAGGAGTACAAAATGTGGGATCTCACTGATACACTTTTTCTCTCCTCTCCACCATCTTATCCTGACCAAGGCCAACCCTTTTGGGATCCAAATGGTTCCCCTTCTTTCCTTTACTTCTGCCTCTGAAAGAGAAGAGGAAGGGGAGGGGGGGACTTAGGGAGAACCACCTCCCTCCTGGCCTGCCAACCCCATTCTGGCCCGCAATGTGGCCCCAAGTTAGAAGGTTAGCCCATGCCTCCTGGGGTTAGTAGTTTGGTGAGGCACTAGTTACTATCTGTCTAACCCACTTCCTAAATTCTCTGGTGATCCCATCTGATCTTGGATGCTAAGTAAAGTCAGCCTTTTTTAGGACTGGAATAGGATGCTCCCGACAAATACGTGGGGCTGCAAGTTGTATTTCAGAGGAAGAAACTGGCAAAACCACTTATGAGCATTCCTTGCCTAAGAAAGCCCTATAATAGTCACAAAGTTGCCCTACATTGACGGGCAACGTGAACACACACACACAGATACAGGCAAATTGTCACACCCAGGATATCATGGGATGGATATCAGGGTAGCTGAGCTGGAATCACAATTGAAATGGGTGCCACTCTTTCAATACAAAGAACTCATGAAGGGTGGATAGCCATTGCCAGAGAGTCTGGAACATCATCCTGTTGGTGGGCTGGTCTGTCCATACCTCCATTGAACACGCAAGTGGGTTTGTGTGAAGGCAACAGTTGTGAGCTGGGCAATGCAAGGCATTAGCAGACTTTCTAATGCATATCCTTCCCTCTGTGGTACTAGAAGAGCTGCTTCAAACAATGTGGCTAGACACTTAGCCCTTCTCACCTGTTGGCTTACTACAAACAAGCCAATTCCCAGATGAGCAATGTTAGAGATTTCTGGATGTTGGGGATACAAACAGCTGCTACCTCTAGTATAATTCAAAACTTCTTATTGATTGTATTGGGCTACTAGGGGTTGGGGAGAGGTGGGTTGGGTTGGGATAAGACGCCAGAAGTTTTTACTCAATTGCATTCATGTGGTTGGCTTATGCTCTCACCTCCTTGCAAGTATAAGCTAATATTAATGGTTAGGAAATAATTAAGTACATTTATCAACAAAACTACATATTTCAATTAGTTTCTCCTTTTCCTTTCCAACTTCTTTTTCTTTTCAACGGACTTCTTTGGGATCTGGCTCTGGGTTGTGTGTGTGTGTGTGTTTGCATATAATATATATATATATATATATGTGTGTGTGTGTGTGTGTGTATATATATACACGCAAAGACATACATGCATGCATGCATACTTGCTTTCTTTTTGGCCATTGTGGATTGGAAAATCTTTTATAGAACACCTTTCACTGACAGCTCAAGTGACAACTTTGTGGAAATCAAGTGACATCTCTATGGAAAAATGGTAGAGTTTTGACACCAAAAGAATAAGACCAGCCTAGAATTACCTAGAAATTGGTTTTTGGTGTCCTCTTCCTTTCATTCCCAGTGTTGATTAATAAACCCTCAGTGAACTGGGTTTTTTTTTCCTTCCCCATTTTTTATCTACTGATGGCATCATCAGATGTCTCCACTCATTCTTCTCAGATTCCTACTTAGGGCTTTTAAAACTTACTTCTTGTAGTTCAAATCCTTTAATCTTTCAACCAGAAGGAGCAAATAGATTTGCAGGCTGAAGGATTCTGGGAATTGTCGACCCCAAAAAATATGCTTGGTTCCTCTTGCCCAGCTGCTTCCCACAGGCCCAAGTTGGCAGATACCCTTCTTACCCTTCTTGTACAAGTACAAGATTGCATTGTAATGTTACCCCATAATTTTTAGTAACCTCGGCCATAATATAGCATAAAAACATCAAGAACAAACTCTGAACAATTCATTTTATTTTTTTTAAATTCTCAGATTGTAGACAAGACACATCATATTTTTCTTCTTCCATTAAAAACCCCCAAAATAAATCTAATCACCCCCATGCCATTCCAGATAGATGCACCCAGTCCTGTTGGATTTTGAAAGTTAAGCAAGGAGATGCATGGTTAATTCTTGGATCAGAAACTACCAAGGAATGCCCAGGACCTTTGGGAAGGAACCCTACCTGAACCATTTTTAATAGAATTGGAAACTGAAATCCCAAACACCTGGAAGACAAGAGTTTGGGATACTAGGAGTCCCAATAACATTCAATTACCATTCTAATGGGAGTTGGCCAAGGGGTCGGGCCTTTGTGTCTTTTGGAGAAGCTACCTGTCATACAGCAGAGCAGGAACACATCTGATCTTAAAACACCACCCCAGCTT